AGGACTTGGAATTTCAAGTACACAATGAAACCTAAGATGACAAATGCTCTTCTGGGTATTGAATACACAATAAGTTCTCCTAAGACCGCGGGAAAAAGCAGAGGCATTATTGAGCCACAGTGTGGGGAAGTGCAAACCAACGCATTGAGGGCAAAATACTGCTGTCTGTAGTCAAAATATGAGGGACACCGAGCTTATCAACATGTCTTGAGAGAGGAATTTAAATTAGCCTGATCAACGTGCTAGGGCGGGTTAAGGAAGAATACTGGTTGTTACTGGAACCATTGTTAGAAGCCAAAACAGTGACACCCCATCACTTGACCCTGGGCTTCATAGATCTATTGTGAGTTATTATGGGACTTTAAGGATGTTTGAGGTATATTCCTAACCTCTGGAGGAGACTCACAAAACATCTCTTCATGGCCATTGGACATAGTTGTAGCAGGATGGGTCAGAGTTCTAAGCCAGTGTAGGAAATCTGATATTCTGGATTCCCAGGGAGGCTTTCGCTCTAGGTGTCACAGTTCGATCCCATGTCATGATGATAAATACAACCAGTTCAGGCTATGATACCAAGGATCCTGCTGGGGGAAACCTCAAGAGGGCAACTGTTTGGTAAAGAATACAGAATATAGCTAGTCTTTTTAGTGCAGGGAGGTAGGTAACTTGACACATATCACGGCCTTAGACCCCAAACATGGATTAGAAAATTCCTGGGAGTGGACCAATGGAAGGGAGTTATTCCCAAGTGATGACATGGAGAATCCTTTTCTTTATCCATGGCAGCTTCCCTTCTCCTTGGGATGTGGAAGGAACTCCCACATCATGCTCTCAGTAGATACTGGATGATAAAACGGTACGTAGTGTCATCTGAGGTTTCGGCATTCTTTTTCATTTTAGATTACTCGGCGCCACAGTCAAACTGAAACTTGAGAATAACTAACTTAGTAATGAAAATGCAGTAGAAATAACCCTAATGTTTTATGTATTTTGACCATCAAGGTAAATAGAACCTTTCTTTTCCTACACCTAAACTTTTTTTTTGGAGAGATAATGTTAAAGCAAATATAATAAAATGCACCTGAAAGAGTGAAATGTTTGCAGATGTGAGGGTTCTTTTGTGCATGTGAATGGAAAATTAAAAAAAAAAAAAATTTTTAAGTGGACCCTATTCCCCTCTGTCTCTCACACATGTCGTCCCTGCCCCTTTCCCCCCAAGAAAGGAAAGGTCCTCACTAAGGAGAAATGTTAGCAGGTGTGATATCCTGAGGAATCCTGAGCAAATTCTGTTACATTCTACGTAATTGAAATTATTTTGGCAATCTTTAATTAGTCCTAGTAAACACCCTGGAAGCCATTAGTTAACATTTGAAGAATCCTGCTGGGGAGGGGCACGGATAACATCCTCGGAAGGCTGTTAGCATTTGAAAAAAGTCTTTTTAGAGGCTTCTACCACCAGCGCTTTATCTGTAGCACAGTAACTCCGGAGACTTTGTGAATAAATGATTATTTTCAATGGCCAAATTACTAGCATTAAAGGTACATGGACTGGCCCAATACTGCAGGTCAGTCCAGGCCTCCCATCAGTAGGATAGGAGACTCAAGTAAGCCCACTAGCCCCGGATCCCTTGATTACTAACCTATTCTGTGTCTAGCAGTTAAAACAGAACTGGGTCACTTGACACTAAACATTCTGGAATATTACTGGATTTGCTTCTAATAAACCTTTTGCGTAAGATGCTGTTGAGTTCCCTAAAAGAACAGAACTGGGACATTTTCAAGCTTACAGGACAGGCTGACTTGTTACAGGATGCCTGCTTGCTTGTAAACACGAATGATGTGGAAATTAGTCTAAAAGCTGATTTCAGTGTAAAGAATCGCCTGGTGAGGTTGGGGGATGAACTGCAGCCCTCACCCACCTCTACCTACCGGAGGCTACCAGAACACCCCAATCCTTGCCAATGACCAAACTGGCCAAGTCCAGTTCACAACAATTTTCTTTAATGGAGAAAATGTAAATTCCTTTATAGGTATCATAACATTAATTCAGGCAGAGTCTATAGTCATATAGGCTTGCAAATAGCAGTTTCTAGTTTATCAGAAGAACGGGAAGTCCCGGGTCCTCCTAGAAGATCAGAAACAGTCCAAGGATGAAGGATCTTGTCAGCTAAGCACACGGCTGAGCCACTGGCAGGGACCCCGACATTTCTACCTCATAGTTCTCCTATTCTTCTTCTGGTTTTCTACCAAATCTAGCCAGTCTTCTATCTATCCCCCTCTCCCTGGGAGTTCAGTAAAGGTGGGACACAGCAAACAGCAATCAGTGTATCAAAGAACTAAGGCAGAGGTGTTAGAAGTTTGGGCCCAAATTATTCTAAACCAACTGGGATGCGGTGGCTTTAACTACTGGATTGTTTTTGCAGCTCCAGTTAATCTAACAGATGTAAGTCTTTCTGAGCATTTTGAGAAGTTCAAAAGCTAAGTAAAAATGAGCATATGTGCTTCTTTTCATTTTAATAAACATTTCTTATGGGTTTTCTCCTGTGTATTTTCTTAGATCTCCGCTAAAAAACAATCAAGAAAACGTATTCCCCAACTCCTCTCCCCAGCAGCAGATTTTAAAGAAGTCACAGCTGGCCGGCGATTGGCACGATCTGTGGGTGTGCAGCACATGAGTGTGGGCCTTTCCTTCCCCACAGGGGCTCCCGGAGAGGGGACGACACAGGAGTTTGGTCCTTGTCCGTGGGGGATTCACATAAGCAGCTTGTCCTGGAATCCTGTCTCTACCAAAAACTCACTAATGTAGCTGTTATTAGTAGTAATCTGCAAACTAAGGGCAACCACTGGCTATGGCAACGGGCACCTGCAATTTTAGACCAAGCTTAAGAGGCTAAGCTCTAGATATGAAGCTTTCCATAAGACAAAATTGGTGTTATCATAAAAGAAAGTGCAAGTCCTACTGGCACTTGTCTATACTCAGACTGGGTCAAATTGAAGTTCTCGTGTTACCACTGGTTCTTCCCAGTGCTGGTGAAGGTTCTAGAAATTTAGGTCCAACATTTAATGATAATACAGTCAGAGGCCTTTTCGATTGGAAGAGAACTTCTAATTTCCCATCATTATCTTGTTTAACCCTCACATTTTGGAGAGGCTGGGTAAAATCTCTGCTTTATGGATAGTGGGCAACTGAGGCCCTGGCGAGGTTAGGTGACTTGCCCAAGTTTCCATGGCTAGAAAGGGGTTAGTTGGGAGTAGAACCTGTTCTTTTGGTTCTTGGCATATGGTCTGTTCTCGACACCCCAGGGAATAAGAGGCCCGAAGGAAAGTTCTATTGTGTGTAAAGAAGAGTACCAGAAGGCCAGCCTAGTGCAGGGAAAGAGAGTACAATGAAAAACGAAAGTGACTTCCAGATTACTATGAAAGAGAATTTAGGATAATATACATCCTCAAAAGATGGACAAAGAAATTGTGCTGTCCTTGTGAGTACATGAGGCCATGAAGGATTTATGAGGGAACTAGTTCATTTAGTTTATAGGGGATTCATTTCTTCACTATCTACCATGTGTGTGTTACAGGGAGGTCTATCACAGGTTAAGAATTTCATGTTCCAAGTCCAAAAAGCATAGACTTCTTCAAACTTAGAAAATACGAGAAGGCCAAGGATGGGAGAACCCTCACAGAAGAGCGGCGAATCACTGCCATTGAAGAATTAATCTCAATTAATTTTCTGCCATTGAGAATTAATCTCATTCCTATCCCATGATGTCAGAGAATCCTAGACAGTGCAGAGGTGTGGTATGCAAAGAGCCTGATGACATGGCGATGATGCACACTCCTGGAGCCTGGGTTGCCTGCACCCCGTAGGACTCCGGGGCTGCAGGTCTGAGAGGGAGCATGCACGCCCCCCCAAGAAACGATCAGCTGCGACTGTTAAGTGGGTAAGCGCTCTGGGGATTTATTTCTGTTTCGGCGTGCTTTAGTAAACCCGTTATGGGAAAAGTAGCTAGTATAAGAGTAGCTAGTATAAGTTGTGGCTTATAACACTCATTGACCTTTAAGGGCCTAACTTCCAAATTTAAATAGCCATCATCAAGTCGTCTAAGCTCTAAATGTAGAGATCGACAGGCTAATTTTGGATGGCATTTTTTTGGTTGAGGGGACTGGCTGATCACACCCTTTTAAAGCTCCTTTCCTTTCCACTCAGTATTCAGAGAGAACAAACGGGAGATACCAAGATAAACAAGTATATAGCTATATGACCCATGTAAAGGGCCAACAGCTATAAAATCTACTAATTCATTCAAGAACTATTGTAGCTGACATAGAAGCTAAGAGGTTGGTGGCTGTAAGAGAGCTGTCTACACCCTGAAATTTCTTTCCCGTAACTACATTAAAAATTTTATAGTGGGTTCTTCTTGGTAGGGAGGGCTCTGTAGACAGGCCCCAGGGCTCCTAAAACCACCCAGCCCTTCTAAATCTAGAGAAAATGAAGAAATCTTTACTCCCCTCCCGCACCCAAGGTCCAAGATGAATTTTCGTGATGGTAATTCAGCAACCCGCTTCCCAGCAGGAGCCTAGAAACCATCCCTCATGTGTAAAGTCTTTTTAAAGCTTTCTAACGGAGGTGACAAGGTACCACATCTCTTCCTCTGTAACATCCAGGATTTACAAAAACCGCTTCTCTCTCAAGGAGAACTGACCAGAGCTCTCTCTCGTTGGGAAACAATTGTGAGGACTCCTCCACCTTCGGCTACACTGTTCACTGATGGGATTGCAGGTAATAAAGTCAAATACGTTCTTTCCGCGTCATCTTGCTAAAAAAGGGCAGCAAACTCTAACTGAGGCAGCACAGTGATACAGCGAGGAGGGTTCTTGGGGTTTACCCTTTAATTCCACATGACCAGATAGCCTTGTCAATTGCTAAAGCGCTGAGTTAGAGTTTAAGCATCTTTTCGCCCAGAACCGCCGGTCCCCCGGGCAATAGGGGCAGACTGTGTGAGAATAACCTGGATAACTTGTCTGAACGGGCGTGGGACCTAGAAAAAAGAGACAAACACACAAGCAGGAACCAGAGCAGGCACATGAATCACAAGGTATCTTTGGTATCTCATTTGAAGTCTATATTCATAGTCTACTGTTCCCCTCTACCCCGGAAACTTCGGTTGGAAGCGTGAACTCTTTTATTAGTACTTATGTCATTCTTTCCTACTATACGGCAAGTCTGTGGTGTTTTTCATATCTGTGACATACCTCTCATCTTCCCGAACACGCAGGAAAACAACACTTCCCTTAACATGCAAGGGGAGTGATGGACATTTGTGAGGGTACCTGGGCCCCCTCCTCTGCTCACACCACGATATTCACTACCTTCAATCTCAGTGAGGCTACGTTGGCAAAGGGGGTGAGAAAACTCAAGATGGCTGTTTGCAGGCACCAGAGTGTTGCACTGCTAAGTCAGTCACTACACAATTCGATTTTTGGCATCCCTTCGCTCTTGTTCTTGATCAGGTAAAAGAGGGTGGGAGGATCAAGGACAACATGGGGGTCGAGCATATAGGCCATACTGAAGTGGCACTTTAAAAAATTTTTTTTTTCACATTTTCTACCTGGCTTTTAAGAGCAGGAGTTATTTCACGGTGATTTTCCAGCAGGCTTTTCTGAGGTAGATAAAACTTGGATGAGAAGCAGTCTGAAGAAGCGTGGTACAGTGGAAGCCTTTGTGGATAGGATTAGTTTGACAGGAATTTCAGAAGGCAAAGCTGAGCTTGTCATAGACAATACTACAGAAAAGAGGGACAGGGCTCAAGTCTGTCCACCACTTAGACAAGGCTTTTAGAATGGAATAGGTGGGAAACAGGCTAATCTGGCTAGGAAAGAACAGAAGTGTGGGAACAGAGCAGAACCTTGGTGAGCAAGCAGCTAATCCAGACTAGGCAGAGAACAGCACAAAACATGTGTCCCTCAGGACCTTAGCAATCAAGAAAGAACACAGATGGCAGTTATCACAAGACTTTCAAAGCAACCAACAGGCTTGAGGGTTTCAACTGCTTTTTTGTTGTCGTATTTGTTTTTGGATAAAAAGCAAATTTTGCCTCTTTCCTCAGGCCTCCTGTTTGCACAGGTACTGTAATTGCATTAAGCATGTTAGGGAAAGCCACGTCCCAGTGAAATAATTAGGGAGATGGATTCTGAACTTTTTTTTCTGTTCATTTGAGTTACAGATGAACAGGCTGGCCTTCCTAAGACTCAGCCAGATTAACAGTCCCAGCTGGGGCCTTTCTTTCTGGAGAATCACTGCTGCCATCACAGGCAGATGTTCTACGTTTAATGAACATGCCGTCGTAGGCCAAATATTAGTGGTTAAACACTATCATCACAGAAACACACAAGCTATTGTCAAGTTCACAAACACAGCTGGTGGCTAAGAAACTCTTAAGGAAGGAAAGAAATTGGCTATTGGCTCCAAGCTATTCATCACGACTTCTGATACAGGTAAACTGAGATTGTTTTATACGAGAGAGAATAAAATGATAACCATTGACCTCAGTTTCTTTCCCCAATCTAAGATAAAACATTTGTCAGGACATCCGCTGGAAAGAGAGGGAAATCACACGTAATGTTCTCGTGGGTTGATGTAGGCTCTCTCAGGCTCGTTGCTTTGACGATGTTTGCCAGGACTCCGGTCTTGGTAGCATATCTGACTGTAACGGGGGTACATCTGTTGAATCCCATCTTCCCCCACGAGGCTCTCATCTTCATAGTCCAATCTCCTGCTCTTTAGTCCATTCTAAAAATTCAAATATTACTTACATTAGCAGAGCAGCTGTTTGCATTTTCCTAGCACTTTGGTAAAAACAGGCAAGAAACTGAATTCATTTTCTTCTGTGTCTCTGATTCATTATCCCACAAGCTACTGAAAGGCAAGGTAAAGTCCAACAACTTATCATTTTCCAGTCCTGAGTTGCTTACAATACCTGAGTTGCTTACAATACCTCTTATTGAGCAGCTCCTAAATAGAAAGTTATGACTAATGGGAATATAGTCAATTTCAGGTTTCAAAATTTGGAACCAGTATCAGCTAAACTAGGGAAGAACAAGGCTGTGAACTTCCGGAGTCCCTCAGCAGGCCTCAAGCTGGGGATGTGTGGCTGAAATACACAGGGAATTACATCCAACAGCCAAAACAAAACCAAAAGAAACCTCAGGATTCAGTGCTGGGGAATTAGGGAAAAGACAGTGAAATGAACTGGTATTTGACCACATGCCCAACATAACTGAGAATCAGAAACGCTGTCACAGCTGTCACCATCAAATAAACCCCCAAGATGCTGCTCTGTGGCATCTCTGGTACTAACCTTCTGCCTGGTTATTGGTTTCATAAAACTCGATTACTTCTAAGATGGGCAAGCAAGCTCAAGGACTTTACAAAATCATACTATGGATGTTCAGATAGCAGAGAGGTGAAAAAAACAATTTTCATGGAAATCAAATGATATTTTAATAGGTATAATAATAAGTCCACCTGGGCAGACCCCCACAGCAGGACCTTGTTACTTACAGAGTGCTGGAGACCTCCAACCTCCCTTTCTTTGAACTGAGTCTGCAAAGGCAAGTGTTCGGTCTGGAGGAAGAAGACAGAACAAGATAAGCACTTTAAAGCACCAAGCACGCAGTGGCGCACATCCAACCAAGACCATGAAGATGCCTAAAGCCTTTCATGTCTTATCAAATGTATGCCAACTAAGCAAATGTTCCATTTGAGGAGGGGATAAGTAAATACATTTCTTGAGTTTGTCTCTCTCCCTACTCCAGATCTCCTCCTACTCTAGACTTCTGGAAGGAAGAAAACATACAGAACATCTCCTGCAGAAACTCTCATGCAAATTTATACACATCTTACTTGAGGGAGGACTTTGCATAGAAGGTCTCTTACCTCTTCTGCAGAAGAATTTTTTTTTTTTTTTTTTTTTTTTTTTTTAGATTTTATTTATTTGACAGAGACAGACACAGCGAGACAGGGAACACAAGCAGGGGCAGAGAGAGAGACACAAGCAGGCTTCCCACCAAGCAGGGAAGGAGCCCGATGCAGAGCTTGATCCCAGGATCCAGGGATCATTATCTGAGCCCAAGACAGATGCTTAACGGCTGGGCCACTCAGGCACCCCAAGAATCGGATTCTGTGAATCAGCTAAAAGTGACTTTGGGGTAATAATGAAAAGTTATTTTTTGTCCTTATCTATAGATACATACATATGGTCAACCTTCTCTTCCTAAGAGCTACTCTCTGCCTCCCGTCCCCTACAGACCATAAAGGGGATTCCTCATTTTCAAACCTCACCCTAGGAAAAATCCCTTTTGGCTTCCCCTTGGCTTAAAAACGCATCCTTACCCTTCAGCCCCCTGGTCAAATATTAGCTCTTCCAAGAAGCCTTGCACAAAGCATATATTATCGCAATTATTTGTTTATATTTGCTTGTCTCCTTCACCAGGATTGAGGGTGCTAGTTGGGAGTATTTTACAAACATTATCTCATTCATAATCTCTCTAAAAATTCTACAAAATAGATGTTTTTATTTTATGGATGACTAAAATTGAGGCTCAGAGTGGTTCAGTAAAGTGTCTCCAGTCACACAACTGAGGAGTGATAGATTGTGATTCACACATGGCTCTGTCTGAATCCTAATTCTATATTCCTATATTCCCTGCCTCTAGCTCAGTGTCTGGAAAATAGATGTTTAGTAAAACAGAAGAAAGCCGGAAAATCCCAGCATGTAGGCATATCTATCAACATGTCCTCCTTTTCAATGCCTTTCCCCCCATGCTGTCCTTTCAGCCTGGAAGGTCTGCCCCTTAGTCTCTGGCAGTTGAAATACTATGCCATCCATCTCAGCTTGGCTGAAGTCATTTTTTTTTTTTTCTCCTACAAGGCCCATCAAAATTAATTTCTTTACTTCTAGTTTTCTTAATTTTCTTTAGATCTCTATCATAGCACACACTATTGATCTATCTGACAACATCTGTACCTTTTGACCCTAGTGAAGAGTGAGAGCCTTTCCTGGTCATTGTCCTCCAGCTCCACACCCTAGCCCGAGCAGGAAGTCAACAGTTAACTAATGAATTTAGTTAACTAAATGATTAAGTCTTGATATCCCATGTTAAGGTTATCCAAATTATAAAGTATGTCAGATAAATGCGTTCCTTTTATCACATTCTGCATGATTCTAGGGTGCTTTCCACATGACCACGTGAGATGGACAGTACATACTGGTGAAAGCCCACGGCAGGGCCAACTTCATGGAGTGTGACCAGTCACACAGGGCCTTGTGTTTGGGTCTCACTTTGGGCTTTAATGCTCAGTGGTTGTTGCCATCTCAGATTCTGTGTTTTGTAAGTAGTCGAATGAAACAGTGGAGCCCCACTCAAGCGTGTCCTCTCCTGCTGCTTGTGTTTGACTTGGTTCTTGGCCCTCTCGCCCTTACCCTGGTGTCCCAGATCCCCCTTGCTTTCCCCTCTCTGTCCCCGTCCAGTGACTGTGCTGTCCTTGCCCTGGCAGGGGCCTGAGTGCTGGTATAGGGAAGGCTGGGGTCAGGTCTGCACACCCCCCACATCATGGTATTTCTGGCAGGTGACTAGAGGACATGTCTCAGTGAGCACAAGTCTCTCACCCTCATCTAGGAACCTGACATCACCGTCTTGACATTGGCTGGTCCTGGTCCAAGGAAAATAGGGAAAAAAAAATACTTTAAATTTGTGTGCTGTTTTATATGATCCTGGTTGCTGTTCTTCTCTTCTATCAATATAGGTAATTGAGAAATTATTCTACATCAGTGCTGTTATCTAATTCGACAAGAGACAGGCAGTTAGAAGCTTCTGTGTATAAAGGGCAAGTACCTTTCTTCTCACTGGTGGCAGAGTGTAGAAAGCAAGGGTGCAGTCAACACTGAAAAGAGACCATGTTCTAGAAATACAATGATTACAGCCTCAAGAGTTCAAGAAAATATTGGGTTGGAATATGGGCTGCTCTATGTTTATGCTACAAAATTCCAAATGGCAAATTTAATATGACTAGAAAATAAATTACCATCCAGATTTTCCTGAACACTCAGGGTCATACTTATATTTGGTCATTGTCGGTGAAACACAGCGACAAGCCATATAGCTTTGGAAGCCAGTGTTCACCATGGGTGAGATGAACCATGTAGCATTCTGAGTAACAATATAGCCAGTAATATATTAATAGCATTAGAGCATTATAGAGGCAAGAAAATCTATTTCATTTCAATAAAAAGAGACTGCAAAGAGCCATGGCTTTATGTGTAATAATAGTGTTGCTACCTTTTTCTTAAGAGTAGAAGATGCATAATTAGCCAGAAGAGGTACATGTGAAAATAAAGGACAAGAAGAGAGAGTTTCTAGAACTGGGCAGGAAGAAATGGTTCCTGGGCACTCTGAATAAACTGCACTTGCACTGAATGGACGACAAGCATGTGTGTAAGGTCCTCTTCTCTAGCCAATATTGTAAACTGTCACTAACAAACCACCATCCCTCATGGGCGCCCATGAATTTTGTAATATAATATTGAACCAAATTCTATGGAAGGAAGTACCACACATCCTGGAGACAGCCCTGCTTTAAGGATCAGGGGTTATGGAAAAGTATGCTGCCCTTGCCTTGGCATTGTGTAGACCTCCAATGTCTGACAAGAGACATAAGGAATTTCATTAATCTAATGGTGGGTGGGAATACGTGTTCTATTTCTGCACTCCCTAAACTACTTGAAATGTTGAATATCTGACTTTAAAAAAAAGTTAATCATCAGTATTTTGAAAAGTGTCTTGTGTAATACCTTATTTATGTTTGGTGGTAGTATATGTGTACTAAATTAACTTACAATATTTTAACTAATGGATATATAGCATATATTATTCTATTATTCTTACATTTTTACCCCCGGAAAGCGTTGAGCTACTCTGAATCCCTAATACATATTTTGATCTCCTCACTGGTGTGTACTATCTTGTAACAACTTCTACTGAGCTACAACCCATAAGCACTTTCCTCATTTCTTAAGTCATATAGACTTTCTGGCTCTAATGCTTCTTCCTTATAATGACAAGTGATACATTGTTTATTTCTGCTTCCAGTCATGATGGAGAACACACACCACACTAGCCCTCGTGTCACGAAAGACACACCGTAAAACTGGACAAAATATAAGAAACAACAGTTTTCAGACACTGGATAACTGTGCTTCACGCAACTGGGATCTCAGAGGTTGAAACACACATGGTGATCCTATAATAACCCTGGCGACAATCTGACTTTTTTGTTGATTGGGGAAGAGAAAAACCCAAGAAGAGCACAGAGCCTTGCTCAGCTGCATGGACAGACTTTAGCACTCAGGCAAGCTGAGCTGACTGTAATCTGTGGGACAGGGTATCGAAGAGAAGGCGAATCCCCACTGGATATGCGAGACATTCAGTAGAGACCCCAAAGTCATGCTTTAAGAGTAAGGCTAAAATAGCTCCAGGGTACAGAGTATTCTAGAACAACCCTAACAAAGCTTAAAAACAAGCTTCCAGAAGAACAAGTTGATCTTAAAGTAATTTAACTGATGGCCAAAAAACAACTCCATCCTTATTAAGGAATGACAGCAAAATTCAAATAATTGACAAGGTAACATTCACAAAATGTCCAGCATTCAATCGAAATCTACTGAACATGGGGGGAAAAAAGGCAGGGAAAAAAAATAAGTCAATAGAAACAAACCCAAAAGTGACAAATAGGGAATTAGTAGACAAGAACTTTAAAACACTTATTATGAATAAGGATAAGGATATAAAAAATATGAACACAATAGAACACAAAAATATGAAAGAACTGAAAATAACTTCTAGGACTAAAAAATACAATATCTGAATTGGAAAAGTCACTGCAGGGCCTTAGCAGACACCATAAAAGAAAAGCCCAATGCACTTGAAGACAGAAACTATCCATATAAAGAACAGATGGGAAAAAAGCTTAAAAAAAAATTAAACATAACTTCAGTGATCTGTGGAGTAACATCAAGAGACCTACTATTTGTATAACTGGAATCCAGAAGGAAGGAAAGACAGAAAAAAATATTTGAAGAATTGCTAAAATTTTCCAAATTAGATGAAAAAATACATCAATAGCTCTAAGAAGCTCAATGAATTCCACTAAGAGTAAACATAAAAAACAGACTCTGATACATATCACACTTGAATTGCTGAAAATAATAATAAAGAAAATCCAAGATGTGGCCTGAGGAAAAAGTAAGATACAGTAGGTACAGAGAAATAAAGGTAAGAATTACACTGGCCATTCACCAGAAAAAAAATGAACTCAAGCCCAACCATGACAATAAATATATTTAAGAAGAACAGACTAACCAGGGCACCTAGGTGGCTCAGTCAATTGTCTGCCTTTACCTCAGGTCATGATCCCAGGGTCCTGGGATGGAGTCCTGTGTCTGGCTCCCCAGTCAGTGGGGACCTTGCTTCTCCCTCTCCCTCTGCCTGTTGCTCCCAGTTTGTGCTCTCTCTCCTTCTCTCTCTGTCAAATAAATAAGATCTTAAAAAAAAAAAAAAAAGAATAGA